TACAAATCAGGAGGTTTTTATGTTACACTTGGGCTTCAACTCTCTCATAACAGGAACAAACTTTCTGTACTTCTGTCTAATGAAAACAATTGTCCCTTAATAAAAAATTTGTCAACAAAAGTTGCCACTGCTCCAATTTTTTATTTGGGCCAATGCAGCCTCTAATAAACGATACCCTAAGAAGGGTCTGATCCCTGAAATCTCTACTTGGGCAAAATCACTGCTGAAAACAAGAGGACTTTTGCTGAATTTTGTCCTGTCTCTAGTGCTTCATCCTATCTTTCAAGTGCTCGTCCACGTGATTAACAGTACATCAGGTTAAGCACGTGCACGGTTAGAGATTTTGTAAGTGGAAATTAATTTCCTTGGGCCATAATCATTTGCCTGTGTAACTTCCCAGAAGGTAGCAGGATTGATTCTCCTCACACCTACAAATGCGTAAACCAGGAACAAAGGAATGAAATCACTGGAATTGTTACCAGGAACAACATGTTAGCCCTCAGTAAGCCAGGCTGTGAATTTCCGGCACTCAGGTACTAAGAGTTTTATAGCACGTGGGCACACTCTGCCCAGCCGCCCCCCGCAAAGTAGGGTCAGTTCCATTACATTTAGTGATTACTAAAGGCTCATCTATCTGAATGAACTTGCGAGGCAGATGAGGTAAACTGCATTAAGCCCCATTGTGTTCAGAATTAAAGCAGCCTTAATTCAATTCAGCTTACTCTCCTTCCAAAAAGAATGACTCCAAATCAGATTAAGGTTGCTTTGATACTGCAACAGAATGTCCATGCTGGGCTTTAAAGCAGTTTAACAAATCTACTTTAAATGCACACCTTTCATTAATTCGGATTAGCTTTCCTGAAGCCCCCAGTGGAGATAAAGCTTAAGAGACTCCATGCAGGGAATCTGCATGGGTTTGCTAGGATGCCGTGAACTCACACTCTGGCTTACCGCACGCTAACTTCCTCCTGAAGACAAGTAAATCCAGTTCATTGTCTCTGCTGGAGCTGCCACACAGAGCATTTGAGCTCTTGGCAGTTTGGCAGCAACCTCTCGGATGTGTGAAGGAAGGGGGTACAGAGCCTTTCCTTTTCACTCTCTCCCTGTTCCCTAGTGCTCTACAGCTAAGGATGGTAGGACCAGATGGGGAATTTTGGCAGCGATACCAGCCTGTGGGATTCCTGCCCACTGCCTCGCCACTTCACTCCTGCCTCTGCACCACTGCGCTGCTGCCTTGCTCACGTCAGATAAGTTCCCTCATCCCTTCACTGTGTGGATGAACAAAAAGCTGTATGGGGGCAAGAAACATAGTGAGGCAAAGTACAGTGGCTGGTAAAGGAGGCTTGAGTAGTGCTCCTTACGCTGGAATTGTTGCCTTGCCTCATCAAACTACAGCTCAACTAAGACTGCAGTACCTACTGGTTTCTCTGTCCAGCATGACACAGGTGTCACTTCTGGGAGGTCCCTACCAACTGAATGAAGGTCTCTTTTCTCTTTCAGAGATGCACTGAATTGGTCATCAGTTCGTTTCCAGTCTTCTTCCACTGACATAAAGAAGCCCATGCGTGGCAAAAAGAAACATACGCCAAAAAGGGGAGAAAAAAAGAAAAAGAAAAAAAAAAAACCAACAACCAGAAAAAGGAAAGAAAGAAAGGAAAGGATGCCTACTGGTAAGAACAGGCAGTTTGTTAAGTGCACCTTCAGGTCCACAAAGACATTTCAGCACTCCTGTGTAAAGGGAGTAAGAGCTTTTTGTTGTTATTTTTTTTTGTGTCAAATTTGCCAAAAACGCATGCCTATGCTACTAAGGTTAATTCCTGTACTCCATATGTATTGAGATCCTTTGCAGTGAGCTATAAATGGACAAAGCAACATTCACGCTCCCCAAACCACCCCGAGTCCTAATGATCCATCCTGGTCTCCTGACAAAGAATTGCTGCATGCAGCACTTTTCTCTGCTGCATCATTTTTATCATTCTGCTCATTAAACTAATGTGTGCATACCCAACTGTGGCAGAAGTTAAGTTACCAAAGGGACGCCTCGTCTCCCAGATGCTGCTTTCTGATCATCAGTCCCACAGCACTGAATTGATTATTGCTGTTTAGTTTAGTCAGTTGGTTGTTTTATAAACTGAGTGCAGCATTCAAGTCTGTTTTGACATGAAAAGTCATAGTCCAGAAATCAAGAGTTTGGGAAGATCAGGACCACCAGATTTGAATGGGGAGAGAGCTGTACGATGGGCAAGGGTGTGAGCTGGGGACAGCAAGGAAGCTTTACAACATCTACCTGGAGGATGTAATGCCCTGTATTGTCTGATGCTTTGCATTTCTTACAGGAGTCAGAGCTCCCTCAGTTCTCATCGCTAAGATTCACAGAAGCCACACAGTGAGAAATAAAGTCAAGTCTTTCTGGAAACCTGGCAGGTCAGGCTTGTGCGTAACTGCAGAGTTAGGGTTGTTTTTTAACTCTAAGTGCCTTGATTTTACATACATGTGCATCTGTGTATCTGTGTGACATACAGATACGCAGACACACACATATGTGTATTTATACACATATATACATATATCAGAAGGATAGGGGAAGAAAGGATATGTACAATGCAGAAGGAGAAGTGTTCAACAGCAGTTGGCCATATGCTAAGTGCAGAACGAAGATCCTCAACTTTGTCCATTTAAAAAATAAAGATTAGTGCCTACATTAGCTCAGATCAAAGGTTATTATCTTTCAGGTCCTAGCAGTCAAGGCTGGCATATGTGGAAGATACCTTCTCCTAGCATTGCTTCCTTCACCAGATGATGGTGGAAGTAGAGTAAGGTTAGGGATCAGAAAGAAGAACAAGTGGCTCAAAGGATCTGTGATGGGATTTAAGATCTGACAGACTGCCAAAAGGGGATGGAGGAGGCAGGGATGGGATGGCACTGGGAAGCCTCTCCCACCTACCTGCTGGGGAACCTACGGGAAAGAAAAGCAGAACCCTGCAGCCTGGTTGCCTGAGTGGGCCATGCCACAGTTCATGCTGATCCCTAGCTCCTCCTGCGTCCTGCTGTGCTGGGACAGGCTGCCAAAAAGCCATCTCAGGGAAAGAAAGGGCAGATAGAATGATGGCAGCGACACCTCTATAAACAACCTAGGGGAACCTCAAGTCATGCATAAGCACAGCTATGAGTTATTTGGCAGAAGCAAACGCTGAGCCCTGCAGCATCGGACTGGCAGGGGAAGGAAGGCATCCCATGGGCGCTGGTGGTCTCTGCCTGCCTCTTCTGCGTCCCTCTCACTCACGCTCACTCTTGCTCTTTCTTTCTCTACCCCGTTCTGTGCTGTGCCAGGAGGCAGCACAGAACACTCCTGACAGCGTGTGGGTGCCTTGCCCTCTCCTTTGCTATCTCTGATCAGCTCAGTTCCTGGAGGCACTTTCAGCAATTTAGGGGATGTAAGATAAAGGCACTGCGCAACTATCTAAATCAATCTGTTGAGTCTCTTCAGTGAGTTTTAGGGGAATACAAAAAAGTCTCAACTAATGACTGCAAAAGAAACCAGCTGCTGCAATTTGGATGCATGTAATAGATAAGTTTCATTTACATTCTGAGAATGCACCAAAAAGCATGCATCTGCACCTTTCAGCTATAAAGGATACTAGGTTTTAGGTGTTGCTATATATAACTTGACTTCTTAATTTTCCATATAGCTTTCCCTGTAAGGGATGGGATATGTTCCTTTCCGACAACACCTGGACAAAAGCCAACACATTTCCCTGAGCAATGCAGGAAAACAATCAAGTTTCTCTAATCAGCTCATTCAGGCCCTCAGTCTATCAAGCACTTTTTTTTAATTTTGTTTTTATTGTTATTATTATTACTGTTATTATTATTGAGTTCATGCATTAATTAATTCAAGTTACACCTTAATCAAATAGGCCATAATGCTGAATATTTGAACATGCTTTGATCTCCAAAAGTTATTGTTCCCATTTGACTAACATACGCACTTAAATACAGTACTTTAAATTACTAGTCAACGATTTAATAAATTAAGGAGTGCACTTCTGGTGAATGCAAATCAAAAAGAAAAATAAAAGAAAATAAAAGAAAAGAAAAGAAGAAAGAGAGATAAAGGACCTATTTTCAGAAGATTCAGTTCAAACGAAAGCTTATCCGCTATTGTCTGAGGTAACGTTTCAGGCATGCGATTATAAAATAAATAGTATCAAATTCAAACATGCTTATATTAAACTCTATTGTGCTATCTTGCAACAGAGGGGCTTAAAGTTTTGTATCCAGTTCTAAACGGGGAAAAGGAAAAGTCTGTTTAAATCATCTGCATGTAAGACAACTTAGCAGCATTGCAGATGTTTTGTCTTCAGTTTTGTTTGTTATTTTCCTTTTCGAATAGTTCTTCTATGGAGAGCAAAAGAGACCAGGCTTAAGTATGTTTTTAATAAGGTGCTGTGTGGATCTGTAGATTGGAACTGTGTAATCTTTCACATAGGGGGTGGAAGGAAAATTTGCACTCCTTCATAAAAACCATGGCAAATGCTTGCTGCAGGTTTTTGCTAATCTTTTTTTTTATTATTATTATTATTATCATTATTATTATTATCTGATGTACTTTCTTGCAACTGTGCAGTTTTGCAGAATGTTTTTACTGGAATCCATGCATACGCTGTATAGCTCTAAAAACTGTCTTGCTTAGTTTAAGTTAACTTCATCAGAAAAAAAAGGAGATGGGAGAGGAAGAGTTTAGGTCTAGCAACATACAGCTTAAAACTAAACTAGTTCAAATGGTTATCATTTACCAGGTGGAAAATGTTTTTTTAAAAATAACCAAAATCTTATCTTTCATGGATCCTGGAAGCTTCTTTATCGCTGAGCAAAAATTCGCAATGCAACAACGCATTTACGAGGTAAATAAAGCATTCAAAGACTATCAGTAAAGCATCTACAAAGTGTGACTGTGTCACTAAAGTCTTCAAGCTGTGAGTGGGGATTTTGTTTTTTGTTTACACGTCAGTCAGCAGCTTGCTTTTATTAACGCAGTTTTGGTTGGCTACAGTGCAGTTGCCAGTTCTGAGATTAGCCTCTCTAAAATTGTCTATGCTATTATTCATATCCTCTTCGATTTCCATGTACTCAGATTTGCTGATTGTGGAGGAGCTGCGGCGACTGAGATCACTGTCAGATGCTAAATTAGGGGAGCTAACGTGAAGTAACTGAGCCTGTTCTTCCCCTTCTGTTTCTCGGTGGTAGAAGTAGTTGAAGTTGGACACGATGACAGGTACAGGCAGGGCAATTGTCAGCACACCAGCGATGGCACACAAGGAGCCTACGATTTTGCCTCCAATTGTCACAGGGTACATGTCACCATAGCCCACAGTGGTCATGGATACCACCGCCCACCAGAAAGCATCAGGGATACTTGTGAAATGAGACTCAGGTTCTTCAGCCTCAGCAAAATATACCGCACTAGAGAACAAGATCACCCCAATGAAGAGGAAGAAGATTAGTAAACCTAGCTCTCTCATACTTGCTTTGAGGGTCTGTCCCAAAATCTGGAGGCCCTTAGAGTGCCGGGAGAGTTTGAAGATTCGAAAGACTCTTACCAGTCTGATGACTCTCAGGATGGCCAAGGAGGTGGCCTGCTCTCCTTTCTGAGTCCCCTCCCGCTCAGCCATCTCGGTGCCCAGGGTGATGAAGTAAGGGATGATGGCCACAATATCAATGAAGTTCATGATATTCTTGAAGAATTCAGTCTTGCTGGGGCAAGCAAAGAAGCGCACCACCAGCTCGAAGGAGAACCAGATGATGCAGAGGGTCTCCACAACAAAGAAGGGATCTGTGAAGATGTTGGATTTGTAGACCTGGGTGGTGTTGTCAGTGCGATGCACTGTGTACTCCTTGTCCTCCTTCAGCTCAGGTAATGTCTCTAAGCAGAAGATCACGATGGAGATGAGGATCACCATGACAGAGACTATTGCAATGACCCTTGCAGGCCCAGAGCTCTCTGGGTATTCAAAGAGGAGCCATACTTGGCGCTGGTACTCCCCCTCCGGCAAGGGTCTCTCCTCATCTTTGATGAATCCTTCATCTTCCCGGAACTTCTCCATGGCCTCCTCACCCAGCTCATAAAATTTGATCTCCTCAGAGAACATGTCCAAGGGCACATTGACCGGCCGGCGAAGCCGCCCCCCAGACTGATAGTAGTAGAGGATGGCATCAAAGCTGGGCCGATTCCGGTCAAAGAAGTACTCATTGCGCAAGGGGTCAAAGTACCGCATGCGCTTCTTGGGGTTGCCCAGCAGCGTGTTGGGGAACTGGGCTAAGGTCTTCAGCTGCGTCTCAAAGCGTAGTCCAGCAATGTTTATCACTACGCGCTCACAGCACTCATGGTCATCATGGGCAGCAGGCTGGTAGCTATCCTGGGGGTGACCAGGTAGCGCAGAAGTCTCATCCATGTTCTCTCCAGCCATCACGGTCATGGTGGCACACGGGAAGGGGGACCCAGAGGCAGGGAAGGAGAAGTGTAGGAGAGGGGCTTGAGAGTGGGAAGGAGGATGAAGGAAAGCAGAGAGCCCCAGGACAGTTCAGTAGAGGATGGGGTGGGGAGGGGGGGGAAGGCTCAGAGTCTGCAGGAGGAGGGGGATGAGTCGGGATGGAGAGTTTGAGGAAGGGATGGATGAGGAGCCTAAAGAATGGAAATATCCGAAAGGGGAAAGGAGAGGT